AAGTAGTCACGTCCACAGATATGAAAAAGGAAGCGAGACACTTCAAATGCATCTCGAGCATGAAGCTAGCGGACTGGAAAACACGTCCAAGTGCCAGCAAACTCCTACGGTGCCGATGCATTCGAACGAGTCTTGACCGTTTCTCTCTGCTGTTTTCTTCATAAAAATACTTTTACTTTTGCAAAAAAACTTACTTTACACACTGTGTCTCTTATAAGGAAGGCAAGGAAACCAGTTCGTCTTGCCGTAGCACACTGTGGCTTTGCATCAGCTATTATAACTAACTTATGGCTGTATAATTTCAGCTCCGGTACGTGAGCTGTTCGAAGCTAGCGGTCTTTATGCAGCAGTAGCCAAGAGCAACTTCTATCCTACAATCTACGATGCAATAGCATACGCTCAAATGGAGAGGTGGGTCGCCTTTCACCGAGTGTCATAAACGCTTCCCAACTGGGATCACAAACTACGAACGGAACGAGAATTTTTGTTTTCAGAGGTGTCGCAACCCCGGACCATATGGCATCACACAATAGTTTCGTTAATCACGTGGACACGACAGATGAAGCCGTGCAATGTCCCGAGGTGTCTACAGAAGAACGCCATTCGGTTCTAGGACGACAGAAGCGGGGTAGATTCTGGTTAAGGGCCATCGATTGATTTATGGTCTCTTGGATGCCTTCCAATTCGCGTTTTGCCTATTGATTTCTATTCTCATTGAGAAGCTTTAACTATTGCATATATGGTGCACTTGAAAGGAAAAGCTCGACTGTATTGCAGCTATGATTAGCAGCTTTTCGTTGCTGGATGTGATTACGTTACTAGTCTAGTTCAGAAAATTGGCAAGAGTTTTTCTGGGCTTGTTTGAGGGTCACGAATATCTTCAAACAAGCCCCGAGAAGGGGTTAGGAAAACAGCTGGAAAACAGCCAGAAAACTAGCTTACTAGCTGTGGATCTTTGTTCGTCCGCTTCAATGGCAGCGACTAGGCTGACATACAGCAAGGCGACCGCTCGCGTCTGTGCCTTGCACAGCGTCAAAATTTTCAAAAAAGCGATTAAATGTTAAAGTAGTTTTATTTACTTTCGCTGATTTTTTGAACAGTTATTCAGCATAGGCTCTGCTTGCTTTGCACTAGAGTAGCCACTGTTGCGCGGTGAAGAAATGTCTAACTAATCGCGTCTCAGCCATTTCGACATAGAAAACTGCGCCAAACATTCGAGTAGTGATGAATGAAAGATGCGAGTTGCCGTTGGAGGACCCTGTGTTACAATAAACTGCCAATTTCCTGAAATTTTCATTGATGATCCGGGCTTCATGGAAGCCGAGTATGTTGCCCTTGTCCTCGTCGACATATCACTTGAAAACGAGTATATTATGTTCAAATAAATATTTTTGTGCGAATGTCTGTTTCACAATTACGAAGGACACATAACATGCATTAGGTCCGACTATAGTAGAGCAGTGTTTAGGCACCTTTGCGTGGCCATAGCACCGATTTCCGGGAGCGATCTTTGCGCCTTCCTTATCTTTCATGGAGGTGGATCTGTATGTAGGAGTGAGACTAGAAAGAAAAACATTATTTAAGAGAGAAAACTCCCAAGAGATAAACAAGGTTCGTTCCGTTCCTTCTTTAAACGAACAGTTTCCACTGCGGGGTGCAGGCAAAGATACTCAGGTGTTGTGGCGACGACGTGCAGCAACTAGCCAGCATTTTCCAGCTGGTTGGTGCCGCGCTTGACGAGCAGCGAGCTGACCTTTTGAACTATACGGAAACACCGAAATGAAAGTGATGACTTCCCTCCTAGATGTGCTGTGATACCTTGACGGCAGACCGCGTTCATGCTTTGCGTCTGAGTAGATTTGACGACTTCGCAATCAGAAACATCGTGCAAATAGGTATCGATCTGGTCACTGGAAGAGGGGAGGGGGAATCGGCGAGACAGCAACTGGGTGGCTCGACGTTTCGGGCGATTTTGCCCCAAAGGAGTGGGTATCTATCGATCTGCCTCAGTCGTCAGAGATTGCGGAGAGTCAGCGAACCGGCGCCGAATTTCCTCAGTCGCAATGTACTCATAACTCCATGAAAGTATAGGTATCGACCCAGCATCTTGGAAACAAAGGAGAATCGAAGTTTCATGAGTCAAAAACGTCTTCCTCCATAAGGCATGAACGCAGCTTGAGTCGGAATCCTTTTGTATACTAGCAGCACAATTCACCGTAGCGGCAAAACGGCAAGAGATCTCATAACTTCAGTGTTAGAATCCAGCTTACTTTTCCTAGTAGGCTGTCCCAAAAGTCTTCGAATCTCGCGCCATTTTTCTGTAGTGATTGCGAAATCCAGTTTTTGACCTATTCAAAGCACAACATGTAACCCACCCACAGCCAATTCAGCAATCCCCATAACTGCTATTGTTCTTTTAGAAAATGGGAAATGCATGTTTGTCATTTTTACTGTATAAGTTTCATCTAGGCCACAATCTATAACCGAGTCCACACGTAACATTTGCTGCTTAGGTCCTTGTGCTATCACTCATAATACGGTATCGAAATGGTTCGATTGTTTCCGCTCAGGTGACTCGGATCCGGAAGACAAACCTTGGTAAGGGAAGTCATCTGTGTTGGATTCGGAGCAGCGGCGATCTCT